TGACTCTGACCTCCTGCTATCCTGACCCCGCTGACTCCTATTCAGGAAAGGGGTTGGAATGGGGGCTGAGAAGGGGTGGGAAGAGGTGCGGCAGGGGCGGGGCCTCACGGAAGGGGTGGAGTGTGGGCGGGGACAGTCAGTGGTGTGGCTCTCGGGCCAATGTACTAGTCCTCATGTGGCCCTCATGGTCATTTGAGTTTGAGACCCCTGGTATAAATCCACACTTAATGACAAAAAGTCCAAGAGGATGGACTTGATGGCAAGAAAGATTTATACTTCTTCTTCCCTGCAGATGTGCTTTGTGAACCAGCAGGTATTGCATTCTACATAGGACTTTGTTAATTGGGTGGCCATATCTAAACTTGTGGATAAGTTGCCAGAAGCCTCAGCGAAGAGTTTAGGGAATTAATTTTACAAGGCTTATATGATGGCCAAGACCTCATTGCATGGGTTCTGGATGTGGCGGATGCCTCATCCAGAATTAAGAATTGGTTGTGACAATGAGGAGGGCCTCATTGCTGTAGTATTTAGGCATTGCTCCCAAAGTGCAGCAGACAACTGAAGATTTACTTTTTGATGGACGAGTTTTGTTTTCAGAAAAAAAAGATGAAACACTGCACTCTTTTAGAGACTCCTGAGCTACTTTGTGTTCTTTGGGAGTATATACCCCAGCTGTGAAGAAACGCCACGAATAGGAGCAACCACAGCAATACCGCTTGCAGAATTTCTTTGGATAGTCCTCCCTTCCTGTAAGGCAGTGGGGCTACTCCAGGAATGGCCACAGATCCCAGAGGAGAATGTCCTCTGGTTCTGGGTTTAACCAGCTGGCCTCCCCCATCCCCCCCAACACCCCATCCACTGGCATTCAGGAAGGGCCCATTTTGACTCGTGTCCTGGACAGGAGTGGTGACCTCTCCTTCTCTGTCCCTTCTTGGGGGACTGGCTGGCTCATTTTTGCTTGGGACTCAATTACCATGAACAACCTGGATTCTAAGCACCGCCAGATTGGGTTATGCCATACAGTTCCTCTCCATCCGTCCTCTCTACCCCCCCATACCCCATTCCTCTTCGGGGACCCCTCTTACAAGATTCTGCTTCTCAAGCAGGTTCAGTCTCCAGTGACATTGGGGGCTGTAGAGAAGGTCCGCCTTCAGCATTGGGGATGGGAGTTCTACTCCTGGTATTTCCTGATCCCAAAGCCCAGGGGAGGGATAAGAACTATCCTTGATCTCCGTGATTTCAACAGATACATCAGATACATCACCCTAACAACTATCCTCCTTAGCTTTAAATCATGGCGACTGGTTTGCTGCCCTGGACCTTCAGGATGCTTATTTCCACATAGCAATCCTTCTTAGTTTCAGGCAGTTACTCATGCTCGTCATGGCTGGCCAGCACTAGCAGGACACTTTGCAGCCTTTCAGTCTGTCTTGCACCTCCTGGATTTTATCAAGTGTATGATTATGATAACAGCATACCTCAGGAAGAGGGGAATTCATATCTTCCTGCATCTGGATGAGGGAAAAGTCCAGAGAAGAAGTCCTCTGTCATGTTCACTTCACGCTATGCCTACTTGATCATCTAGGCCTAAACAGTGGGAAGTCAGCACTGGTTCCAACTCAAAGAATTGAGTTAATTGTGACCCTGCTAAACTTAAGCTCAAGAGCATTTCTACTGGCTGAGCAATTCCAGTCAATTTGCCACCTGTGTCTGGAGCTGCAGTCTTAAGCCTAAACCACAGCTGGGTAGGCCATATGATTGTGTGAACACAAGTAGTCCAATATGCCAGGCTGTGCTTGCATCCTCTTCAGATGTGGCTAAAGTCAGTCTATCATCTGATTCGTCATCCCTTGCACAGGTCCAACTTCCCCGCCAGTCCTGGACTCCCTACTGTGACAGACAATTTACAATGTATGCGAGGGCATTCCTTTCAGTCAGTTCCCACCAGCCAGGACTATGGTCACCGATGGCTCCTTACTAGGTGAGGGACAGAATCTGGGATCTCTGACAGTTCAAGGCCTGTGGTCAGAACAGATCTTTGAGCTTCATGCCATCTAGAATGCTTGTTAGATCTTTGATGATCACAGCAGGAACTTAGTTTTCATACTCTCCGACAATACCACTGTAGTGTGTTATGTGAACAGACCAGGGGGAGTAGACGCCAGTGTGCTGCAACAAGAAGCAATCAGGACTTCCTTTCTTGTTTCAGGGAAAATATTATCTCTTGGCTAATCATTTACTGGGGAATCAGAATCACCTGGAGGTTCACCTCAGCAGAAATTTCCACCTGAATCACTAGTGGTCTCTGAAGCCCCGTGTCCTGCAGACCATTTTTCAGTTTGGGGAATCCTGATGATTGACCTGTTCCCCATGAGAGATGACAAGAAAAGCTGTTGTTTTGCTCCTGAAGAGTTCTCAGTCCAAGCTCCTTGACTGATGCTTTTCGCTTGAGCTGAGAATCAGCACTACTGTATGGTTTCCCCTCCCATTCTGCTCATCCCACAGGCATTTCTCAAGTTGAACTTGCTCTTTCTCATTGCTCCATCATGGCTCAGGCAATGTTGGTTCTCCAGTTCCTCATGTTATCAGTTAAGCTCCTGTATCCCTTCCTCTTTTACCCCAACTTCCCGATTCACTGTCCCAGTCAGGTTTTGCATTCAGCTCTCTGCAATCTCACAATGTGGAAGCTGCATGGTTTGATGAGGAAGAGCTTCTGAACATCATTCCTATCTGGCAAATCTTGCTTAATAATAGGGTGCTCTTATTGGGCCTGATCGCAAGTTACCTTGGCCTGTTATTACAGAATAGTCCGGGTGGAGCTAGTAGTGAGCTGTCTTTGACTGGCCGGGCTGGCTTGCAGCCACTCCAACTGGATAAAGAAGTGAAGAGATAAGCAAGGCCCAAGAGTGTTAAGTGTGGGAATAGAAAGCAATAGTGTTTCCTGCCAGAGCCTGCTTGTGGATGTGTATGCCCCCGAGAAAGAGGTGATGATAAAAATGGCTATGAGAATTGCTTTAGACGAACAGTCTCACCTGCGGACCTTGGCCATGTGGGTGCCCAGGAACTCCCCATGCTGGAGCAGTGCCTGCTTTGAGCCCTCAAGGACAAGCTGGAGGGTCCAGGATTGTCTGTAGCAGAAGGGGCATAAGCATTGATTCTTGCTTGCCTGCTTGCGTGCTGGAAAGCATGTATTTAGTAACGCGTGAAGGCTGGGTAGCTTATTGTATTTTGGCAATAAAACCGGTTATACTTACATCTGGTGTGGCTTCATTGAGTGTATCTGAGCCCCCTTTTGGCATGGCAGCTCTCGATCACAGCAGCCTATTCAGCCAAGTGGAAGTGGTTCTCAAAGATGGGCAGTGTAGCTTTTGTGAAAAGAGACCATTAAGATCATCTGGTCTGACCTTCTGCAAAACACAGACCAGATTATTTTATTCAGTAGTTCATGAGTGATGAAGAGTTGAATGGCAATATGGAATTGTCTATTCATTCATAGAGTTTAAGGCCCGCAGGGACCACTAGATCATCTAAACTGACCTCCTATATATATCACAGGCCACCACCACCACCCAGCATCTGAGCACTTAACCCAACAACCAAAATTAGACCAAAGTATTATGACCTATAGAAGAGTAGACTATTATGTGTCACAGGCAGAGAATGGGAGGGAGCAAGGTGCACCAATGCCTGAGGCCCCCACAAAGGCAGGGAGATGATTAAGTGAACTACCCAGATAAGCTGGGCAATAATAATTTCCTCATTATTTTTTAAAGGTTTAGAAGTTTTGTAAACTGTATAATATTTTTGCAAGGGTACTATATATTGATTCCCATAAAATTCACGTTCAACCTTAACTGTGTTTTAATGACCGGGTGGGGGGAATAGGATGTAACTTCTCATATAAATTATAGTTCATGATGCCACTCATGCCTGTTGCACCAGAATTTTCATGAGGCATATGAAATTTCACTAATTCTTGCCAGCAGACATTCTGTAGAAAGGTTTTTGCCTGTGGAATTGGGGGAAGAAAGCTACATTTGTAGAACCCTACTCCAGAAAGAGAGCAATAGTTAAGGTGTGTGTGTGTGTGTGTGTGTGTGTGTGAGTGAGTGTGTAGGTGGTGTTGGGGTTTTTGGTTGGTTGCGTCTTTTTTTCTTCATTATTCACTGCTGTCTTGTTTCCCTTTCTTGTGAGCTTTTGTCTCACTATAAATGGCAACACTGGGCATAATAACCCATGCATTCCCCCCACATTTTACTATACTTACTTTTCATGTTGTCCCTTATGAATCGTACTTCAACACTATTTTTAAACCAGTATGCATATAGTAGGTGATGTGGCTGTTTTCTTTCAATTTTCCTCCTCTGGCAGTCTTTTCTCAGTAATTATTCGAAGAATATAAATTGGCACTGACCTCCTTTCTTTCTCCGCAGCCCTTTCTTTTAAATACTCCGTATAGTCCTACTATATGAGTACTGTTGGTAAGCAGATAAAGCAGACTTGTCCGAGAAAAAAAAGATACTCTAAAATGTGAATTAAATAATGACCATGAGTCAAAGTAATTTTCCTTTTGATGATAGCTGCCTTATTCATGGATGAATGTTTCCAAGGATTACTTTTTCTGTTAAAATAGAGCAAAATTTGTCAATATGTTTTTCATGTATGATGTTAAACGTGAATCTCCTGATTTTTAATACAAAACATCTGAGAGAATTTCACTTGAAAGGCTTACGTAAAATAAACTACATGTTGTTCTAGTATGCCATTAAGCTTTTGTCTCCATTAAGAAACTTCAATAATCAATACCTCTTTATAAGCTTTATTTATAAAATAATTTTTTCTAAGGATTATGGTATAATTCCCTTTCTGTAACATACTTTTACATTAGTTTTAGAATTAAAGGATTCTGGTACTCTCAATTACATTTTATCTAGAACAAATTTTCAGAACATAGCTGAGAAAGAAGCTTGCAACTTAAAATGGTATTTTTTCCCCCACAGATGGAAAGGTTGAAGTGACAAAAGAAGGCGTGAAACTGTGTACCATGGGACCTGGCAAAGTATTTGGGGAGCTAGCCATCCTTTACAATTGCACCCGGACAGCAACCGTCAAAAGTAAGACAATTTTAGAATTTAAAAGCTTCTGAATATTTACACAGCTATTAATGTTTGACTTGAGTACGCTTAGATCAGTTATCAGTTTCATAGGGGGTTCTTGACTGAAAAACATTATTAAAATATTTCAGTTTTATTAATTCAGTCCCCTTTCTCCAAATTTTGGATATTGTAGCATGAATATGTTGTACCCTGGTATGTGTTTCATTCTTTGCATTTCAGCAGAGTTGAGGTTTTCTTTGCTGGAAGGACTTTATAAAAAAGAAAAGCCAAGTTTCTAACTTCTTAAGTTGTGTTGTATCTGCAATACATTTTCCTCCACTCAAGCTCTTTAAACTCATGAAAATGAAAGAATATTTTCCCATATGAAACAAAAGGAACTTCAGTAACCAAGTTGTCACCGAAGTATAATGAACTCTCCCTCTTCTGTATGTTGGAGAGGCTGATGGCAGCTAATAGATATAAACTGTTTTGGCATCGTCCACTTTATCATTCCATTGTTTCACTTTCTACTTCTGCTAGGAAAGTCCAACAACGAGCTTCACTGACAGTGATTTCATTTGTTTGGTTTGAACCCCCTGATGAAGCTGCTTATTTTATGCATTAATTTAAGTCTTTTTATGATGATTATTGAGTGCACTATGAGTTTGAAGAAGAAAGGAAGAAAATGTCTCACTTGTGCATGACATTCAGCTCCGACTTTGTTCTAGTAGAAACATCCCACATTTGTGTTGTGACTTACGTTAGCTCATACAAAAGTGCAGCCTGTGGCTAATTCAGTGCCTTTTCTTGCTACATTCTGAGGGTTAAGCAGGGGCCCCAAGGATCAGAAGTTTGATAACGAAGAGTCTGGCTAGGAGGGCAAAGACTGAGATAATCATACCATATGACTTCAGGTCTTGAAAACGTGGGTAGTTCTCTTTCTAAGGTTACCATAGGATTTAGTATCTCCGTAGTCTCCCATTGCACTCCAGACCTCCCATTGCACTCCAAGACACATTCTCAGCCAACACACCACAGTGTGGAGCCAAACGTGGCTTTGGTATTGATATGGACACAGAATGGCACGTTCCTGTCTTTATTTTCCCCACTCCATGGCTACGTATTATATGATGAGGATGCTGGAACTTCAAATGTGGTTGCACCAGATAAGAAAATGTCCAGTAGCTTACAGGTTTAGCCTTCAGAAAGAATTCTATAAGAATTGGAGATACGTATTTTTCTGGACAGGTCAATTTCAACTCTATGAAATAGCTAGTTAATGTATATTGGAATGCCCCTGATTCTAAAAGTCCTTTTTTCGCAACACAAGCTGACAAGCAACTGGATGGTGCTCATCCCCATGTTAAATTCAGTTGCCATTTTCCATTGTTCCTCTGTAAAACAATGTGTTCTATGAACATGCTGTGCAAAAATGTGTTGAGAGGTGTGAGGGAAATTTTCACCTCATACATGAGAACTTTTTAAAAAAAATGTGTCATGTAAAATGAGATTACAAGAGGTCATTCAGACTTGTGATCACACATTCAGAACCAGGGATGGTAAAATACACTGACAGCCCTTTCTGATCTTGAAAATAAGAGGATGGTGATGACCTGTGAAATATAGACTCACAAGGTTTCTATAAGAGATAACAAATAAAGAATACTTTTGTTTTAAAGACTATCTTAAGGCAGTGGTGGTAGATAGGTAATTGGAAGAGTATGGAAGAAAAAGGTAATATAGAAACCAATGAGACATGTCAGACTCTGTGTGGAAGAAAAAAAATTGAAAATCCCCAGCCTAAAAAAAAAAGCAGAATTATGGCAGAAATAACAGAAAGGTAAAGGTAGTTAAATGTCCTGGAAAACCAAAGCTCTTCACAGTCACAGACAGTGTGGCCCAAGTAATCAGTGATATGTCATTGCAAGAGAATGGGAATGAGAGGAAGACAATGAATTTCTAAAATAGAAAATAAGGAGATAGTTGTTTGTTTGTTATCATTAATGTTGACTTTTGTATGCTGTTCATTTCCAGCCAGCAAATGAACAGACAAAAAAACAGTAACTGTATTGCTAGTCATTGTTCGTTTTATTATACTTATTATTTCTCACTCTGTCCTTTCTCATTAGCCTTCTTCTAAACTGTTGATTGGTGCCTACTTGTAACTGCATCTTTCTTTGCTTATTAAATTAGGGGCACGAGTAAAGTCAGTCCTATTGCCACCCTGAAAGACCTTTTCCTTAAGAAAGAAGTAGGAAGCATTATTAAGCAGCATTCTCTTGCTTTCCCACTGGCATATTAAAATGGTAGTAATTATGCACCTTCTTCTATAGGCAGCTGTTGTGAATGTAATCTCATTTAGAATGCTAACAAGTGACTTTAATGCAATTTCTCTCTCTCATTATTGCACTAGTAAGTGAGTAGCAGTCATGACTATAATCAGCTCTATATCCTTTCAAGTCTAGTGACATGTGAGGTCACCATTTGACTTTTTTGGAGCCATTTTGGCTAGACCTACATGTATATATCCACGATTTTTAGGTGCATGGAACAGTTTAGGAGACATTATTGACTAATAAAGTTAAATTATAACAATAACCACTGACAATCTTATTAAAATATCTGTGGGCTTTTTATTTTTTCTGTGTTTAAACAATAAGTAAACATACTTGTTAAAACTCTAGAAAGTTAAGTGCTAGTAAAAATGATAAGTCTGAGGGGAATGATTCAGCTGAAACAAGTACCTTGGAGAGTAAGTTGCTAATCCTTTAGTCTGAGGGGAATGATTCAGCTGAAACAAGTACCTTGGAGAGTAAGTTGCTAATCCTTTATTTGAGGAAGTAGGTTGACTGAATAACTGTGATGAAAGTAAACATTCATCTGATTTTACTGATGGTGATTATAAAATATACCAAGGGACATATTTTGTCTTTTATGAAAAAAAGTTAAAAGAAAAACTTTCTGTTGTAAACCACTGTCCCCATGCCTCTCCCTCCTCCTATTCAGGACCTCAAACTTAACCATGAGCAGATTAAATTTGGCAATCCCAACCATACCAGAAATAACTACTTATAAAGTTTGTAAAAGCAAATTTTAATAAAAGGTACAACACTTTAAATACACTCACACATGAATGTGATGAATGAACCTGTCTTACTGATGAAAGGTGTTCCGCGGCTGGTTAAAATAGGGAAATAAACAGATTTAAGTCTCTTGTGATCAACTGGTGAATGCAATTCTTTTTTTCATCACTTCCAATTAAAAGTAACTTGACATGCGATATAAAAGAAAGAAATTGTGATGAAAATGTTCAAGGCTCTGACAACTAAATATAGGCATTCCTTCAGCAACAACCAAAATCTGCTGATTTCCTAGCTAGATAGAGAATTGCAGGGAGCTCTCACAGAAGAGGCCTGTCATTTTGTCTTGCCATGGCCCAGGCTTAAATTATAAAGACAGATGAGACTACTATGATCATCTAGTCTGACCTTCTGTATACCACAGGTGATAGGACTTCCCAGAATGAATTTGTTTGTACTACAGCATATCTTTTGGGGAAAAAAAACAGCCATTTAGATTCTCCATTACTGGATACGTTTATCACAATGCTTGGTAAGCTATTCCAATGGTTAGCTATCCTCATTGTTAAAAATTTACTCTTTACTTTTAGTCTGAATTTGTCTAGCTTCAATTTTCAGCCACTGGAACTTGTTATACTTAAGTGTGGTGGAATGAAGGGTCATCTATGCTCAGATATTTTTGTTCTTTATGTAGGTCTGTGATCAAGCCACCCCTTAACCTTCTCTTTGTTTAGATAGACTCAAGCAGCTCAACTTGTTTATAACAATAATGCATATTTTCTATTCCTTTAATAATTCTCGTGGCTCTTCTTTGAAACCTCTCCAATTTGTCAGCATCCTTCTTGAATTATGAGCACCAGAACTGGACACAGTATTCCATTGATGGCCATGCCAGTGCCAAATATAGAGGTAATATAACCTTCGTAATCAAGATTCTTCTATTTATACATCCAAGGATTGCATTAGCTCTTTTGGCTATGGATTTGCACTGGGAGTACATGTTCAACTGATTATCCACCAAGAGCCCCAAGTCCTTTTCAGAGCCACTGTTTTCCGTGACAGAGTTCCACCATCTTGCAAACCTACATTGTTTCTTTGTTCTTAGATATGACTTTATTTAACCATATAAAAACACACATTGTTTCCTTGCATCCAGGTTACTGAGCAACCTGGAAAGCCCTATATCAGAGACCTATCCTCTTTATTATTTACTATTCCTGCAATCTTTGTGCCATCTGCAACATTTATCATAAATGGTTTTGTTTTCTTCCAGTTCATTAATAAAAATATTAAATAACATAAGGCTAAGAACCAGTCCCTGTATGACACTGCTAGAAACACCTAATCAGTGCTGCTAAGTAAACATCAGATTGAATGAAGGTGTGATTCACTGGGAAAATAGTCCTAAGCAGGGTTTGAAGTTCCCTGGAGTGCTGATGAGATTTCCTGATCATTCCTGCCTGGTTATTCAGTTCCCTCATGAAGTCTGAAGCAAGAAGAAATTAATCCCTTTCTTCCTTGTGCTCAGTATTACCAATTTCCAAGCTGTCTGATGAATGCTTCTACCCCATTATGCATGAAACGATCATTCATATTCTGTTCTGAGAGAACAGCTCCACTCGTTAGATGTCATCAAGGTAAGCTAAGCATGCCACCCAAGATAAATTATTGAAGGTTTTAGAAAGGGTTGATAGCTGATCATTCAGAGAAACCAGCACGTGTACTCTGAATTCAGAGTGTCAAACTGGTACTTCATCTAATAAGTGCTACCTCACATTAGTATTACAGGAGTTGCAGCTGCAGGAAACTCATGCCATTGCAGAGCAATTTAAACTGTCCAGAATTCATTGGATGACCTTTATTGAAGCTCACTAGTAGCACACATTTTTAAACTCTTTCTTAGAAGCACAAGCCTGATGGTCTATGAAACAGTGAAAC